CTCCCCATGAGCCGGCAGTTGGACATCCTTAGAGAGGCTCCTGCCACAGCCACTGTGCTCACTAGCCATGAGCCCTGCGTCTGGCTGAGTGGTGCTCCTCCTGTGGGACTGACCACCAGGGGCCAACTCTTGGTGGACAATGAAACTGGCTCTATGACATCCAAGGGATCCTGGATTGTGAGAGGGCGCAGGCCAGGCTGAGGGACCCCACTGGTGCACGATTGGGGCCAGGGAGGAACATGGGAGGTTAGTCAGCCAGGAAGGGACCGTGGGAGAGCTGCAGAGCATGTCTGGCCTGTCTCACTTAGTCCTGATTAGCTGGACCCCACCAGCAAGCTAACCTACTGGTCGGAGCATCTGCCTATGGTCATAAGTGCACATTGTAGCGACTGGTTGACCAGTCGACTGTCTGCCCCCTGGTGGTTAGTGCACATTATAGTGAGCGGTTCAGCAGCCTCAGCATAATATTAGCATATTACGCTTTGCTTGGTTGAATGGCTGACCGGACACTTAGCTTTTATTATATATGATATGATAGCCCATGAAGAGGGGTGGAAGTGGAGAGGAGAGGGTCAAGGAGCTTATTCTTGTACATGACATAAGAAAGTGTTTTTTCCATATATCTGTCCATTTATTGAAGAGACAGTCTTAACCTCATTGCATGTTCTTACCTCCTTTTTAATATACTAATTGACCATAAAAGGGTGGGTTTATTTCTGGGCTCTATTCTGTTCCATTGATCTGTATATCTATTTATGCCAGTACTATGCTGTTTTGATTCCTATGGCCTTGTCGTGTAGTTTGATATCAGGTAATGTGATTCTTCCAATTATGTTCTTCTTTCTCAAGATTGCTGTGGCTATTTGGGATCTTTGGGGATCCCATATAAATTTTAGGATTATTCTATTTTTTTAAAAAATGCCATTGGTATTTTGATAGAAACTGCTTTGAATGTATAGATTGCTTTGGGTAGTACGACATTTTAATAGTAATTCTTCCTATCCATTAGCATGGTATTTATCCATTTATTTGTATCTTTAATTTCTTGATTGTCTAACAGTTTCACCTCTGTGGTTATATTTATTCATAGGTATTTTACTCTTTTTGATGCAAATATTGTGCCCTGCTTCTTTACTGAATTCATTGTCAGCTCTAACCATGTCTTGTTGGGGTCTTTTAGGGCTCACTCGCTATAGCTGTGTCGTCTGAATAATCGTTTCACTTCTCTTCCGAAGCAGCAGGGCTTTATGTGCCTCATCTCACTTGCTCCTTCCCCTGGCAGCTGTGACATTGTGCCTCCAGCACAGAAGCTGGATGCAGGAGGGTAGGCAGCTTGCCCTCCAGGAGGCCCGTGGCCAGCATCACCACTGTCTGGCCCCAGTCCTGGCTAGTGCCAGACAGTAACCTCCCTTTTCTGTTTCAGGCTCTGAAACGACAAAGCCTCTTGGGTCTTTCCTTCTTTAACAGCATCTTGGCCCATGGGGACCTACGCAACAACAGGCTCAACCAGCTCTCTGTCAACCTGTGGCACCTGGCCCAGAGGCACGGCTATGCGGACACCCGGACCATGGTGAGACTCAGGGGGCCCCCACGTTCCTGGGGCCGGGGTGTGTGGTGAGCCACCTGAGCCTCCATGGCGGAGCACAGCTGGCGCAGCACAGCAACAGGGCCGGGAATCCAAGAGCCCTGCTTCCCCTCCTAGAGGCGCTAGGCCCAAGATCGCTGCAGAGTCCTTTCCTTGGTCTACAAAATACAGTTAGAAGTTTATTCTCTCTGAATAAAAACTACACATATTAAAAGATCAGTAATTCCTGTTCAAATCCAAATGGATTTGAGGGCAGTTGTTAACCCAAGAGGTTTTATGTAAAGACTAGAGGCCTGGTGCACAAAATTTGTGCAAGGGGGTGGAGGTCCCAGGGTTCGGAGCCCCTCAGCCTGCCTGCACCCTCTCACAATCTGGAATGTTTGGGGGGGATGGCCCTCTTGCAGTCTGGAACCACTGGCTCCTAACAGCTTGCCTGCCTGCCTGATCGCCCCTAACCACTCACCTGCCTGCCTGATCGCCCCTAACCACCTCTGCTTGCCTGCCTGCTTCCCCCAACTACTCCCTTGGGGGTGGAACCAGCCTGGGCGAAGGGCTGTGGTGTCCTGGTCTCTGGTTGTTCCACTGTTTTGGTCGCTGGGCTTTCATTATATAGGACTAGAGGCCCCGTGTATGAAATTTGTGCATAGGGGATGAGGGGGGCACAGTTAGCATTAGGGGTGTCCCTCAGCCCAGCCTGCACCCTCTCCAATCTGGAATCTCTCTCACAATCCAGAACTGATGACTCCCAACTGCTCGCTTGCCTGCCTTTCTGATTGCCCCTAACCACTTCTGCCTGGCAGCCTGCCTGATCACCCCCTAACCACTCCCATGCCAGCCTGATTGAAGTCTAACTGCTCCCCTGCCAGCCTGTTTGCCCCCAACTTCCCTCCTCTGCCATCTTGGTCACCTCTAACTGCCCTCCCCTGCAGGCTTGATTGCCCCCAACTGCCCTCCCTTGAAGGCCTGGCCCCAGCCAACTGCTCTCCCCTGCTGACCATCTTGTGGCCATCTTGTGTCCACATAGGGGCAGGATCTGAGACCACATGGGGGCAGCCATCTTGTGTGTTGGAGTGATGGCCAATCTGCATTTTACTCTTTCATTAGATAGGATAGAGGCCTGGTGCATGGGTGGGGGCAAGCTGGTTTGCCCTGAAGGGTTTCCTGGATCAGGGTGACGGTTCCCTTGGGGTGTGGGGCGGCCTGGGCGAGGGGCCTGTTGTGGTTTGCAGGCTGGCCACCCCCATCACCCCTTACTCTCCTCCCCTCCTCCTTCCCCCTCCCGCTACCCAAGCAGAGGCCCTGGTTTCTGGAATATATTTACCTTCTACCATTGAAACTTTGTAGCCTGAGGCAGAGTCAAGCCTCTACTTGCTGTGCTGGCAGTCATTTTCGTTGGGGTTTATGTGTCTTCTGTCATTGAAACTTTGTAGCCTTGAGTGGAGGCCTGAGCCTGCCAGGGCTGCAGGAGCTTGGCTTCCTGCATTGCCTGGGACAACCCTAGCCTCCTGCTCTTCCAGTTCTGTGGCTGCCACCATTTCTGTTGGAATTTATTTACCTTCTATAATTGAAACTTTGTAGCACTGAGTGGAGGCCTAGGCCGGCAAGATCAGGCAGAAAACTTGGCTTCCTCCATTGCCAGGGGAACCCAAGCCTCCCTCCTGCTCTGTGAGGTTGGGTTAATTTGCATACTTGCTCCTGATTGGCTTGTGGGTGTAGCAGGGTGATGATTAATTTGCATATTATTCTTTTATTAGATAGGATATTGTTGGTTTCCTCTCCTCCTTGTCCTCCAAAGACTTGACCTGTCCTGTGCTAAGAAAAAAGCAGAGGGTCCCAGCATGGCTGGTTTGGTGCAGCCTTGGCTCTGAGGATAGGGAATTATCAACAGAAAGGAAATGAGTGCTTACTTTTCCTTCCAGGTGAAAACTCTGGAGTACATCAAGAAGCGAAGCGAACAACCAGATATGACTCATCTGTCTGAGCTGGCCCTCAGACTTCCTTTGCAAACAAGGACCTGATTTTGCCCCAGGGGCTCTGGTGCCAAATCCAGAAAACACCTGCTTTTTACTTTCTTTTTACATAGACAGTTGGCTTAAGCTTTGGCCTCTACCCAGGTTATTCTGACATGAAGTGGCATTGTAAGAGCATTAAATCCCATCTTGTTCACTGAGTGGCAAGATACAAGTAACATCTTTCTTTTTGGAGTAACATCTTTCTTTTTGGAGTAACATCTTTCTTAATTGGAAAAAGAACCTTAAAAGAGCCACTGTTTGCTCTCCCTAATTTGAGTTTGTAATTAAATGTTGCCTACAGCACCCTGGGCCATTTATAAAAGGCAGGCTCAAAAGATTTTCCTATCAAAAAGCAGCTCTTATTGGATTCGAACATGTTCTGTAATAATGGAATAAACCTCCTGAAGGAATGTTATGTTCATGGCTGTTCATTTCATTGTTTCTGATGCTCTTCATCCAGAAGGAGAATGTTGCTAAATATGCTGCCTGGTTTGCTGGGCAGTCACAATTCTACATGCAATTCTTTTTTTTTTTTTTTTTTAATATATTTTATTGACTTTTCACAGAGAGAAAGGGAGGAGGATAGAGAGCTAGAAACATCGATGAGAGATACATCGACCAGCTGCCTCCTGCACATCCCCTACTGGGGATGTGCCTGCAACCAATGTACATGCCCTTTACCGGAATCGAACCTGGGACCCTTGAGTCCACAGACCGACGCTCTATCACCTGAACCAAACCGGTTTCGGCTGCAATTCTTTTTTTTTTATATATATATATTTTGATTTTTTTTTTTTTTTTTTTTACAGAGAGGAAGAGAGAGGGATAGAGAGTTAGAAATATCGATCACCTGCCTCCTGCACACCCCCTACTGGGGATGTACCCGCAACCAAGGCACATGCCGTTGACCCGAATCGAACCTGGGGACCTTTCAGTCCTCAGGCCGACGCTCTATCCACTGAGCCAAACCGGCTTCGGCATGCATGTGATTCTGTCTGCTTTTTACTGTGTCTCTGGGAGCCTGATATTGTATTACCACTGATGAGCTTCCCCTGACCTTTTATTTTGAATCAATAAGAGTATTAATATTACTGGCTGTTGAAGAGTATGCATCCAGGTTGTAGATTAAAAGCACCCAAATTATTGTGTGGGACATAGATTATATTGGTCTTCATATGTGAAACACGATTATAACTCACAGCCAATCTCAGCAAAGGGGCTAATTTTAAAAATTTATATAAACTAATGTTTTAACAGTTTCACTACCAAGAACATCCTGTAGATTTTCTGGCCAATAGTGGCATCTCCACCCACAAGGACTTCTGATGAGAAATGGCATCCACTAAACAGCAGGTACCAAAAAATGCCTTCATAGAACAGAATACACAGAAACTCAGAGCATGTTGCATCGCCCAAACACCCCCAAGTGGCCTTTATTTCACAAAACTATTTCCAATACTTTTACTACAATAGTATTTAAATGAAAAAATTCACAAAATCACAAATTATGTGCCTTAAAAAGTTACTTCTATGTTGAGGCTGTACATTTCAAACAGAATTAGTTCCAAAATCTGAGTACAGTAGGTGGGTCATACATACACCAGAGCTGCTGTGTGGCCTGGCCCAGCAAGGCTGATTTCTACGCCCAAGAATATATTTTCCAGGCTTTTTTTTTTTTTTTTTCTTTTAAGAGTAGAAGGGACAGAGGCACATGGAAGGGACATAGGTGGAGGGGAGGGAAGTGGCAGAGAAACATTGATGTATGATCGAGAGACAGATTGGTTGCCTTCTGCATGCTTCCCAAATGGGCCAGGGATGGAATCTAAAATCCAAGTACCTGGCCTTGACCTGAAATCAAACCCGTAATCTTTTGATGCACAGGCCAATGCTCTAACCACTTATTACTACTGGCCTGGGCAGAGTTGTAGGGCTTCTGGCCAATGCTTGCCTAGGCCCTGGCAGGCCTGCCTCACCTCTGCCCGTTCCTCCCACCAGCATCCGTCCTCACTGCCCCTGGCTGGCTGGCCTGAGGAGAATCTTCCTCCATGTCAGGGGCCACAGGGTTTCCATCTTCCTCTGGAATGTTCTAGTTTCTTGATGAGCTGCCTGGAATTGCTATGGCCATCTCTCCACCGGTCTGAGGAGCCACTGATGGAGCAGGGAGGAAAGAACGGTTCTCTAGTGAGATGCTGGGTCAACCCCTCTATTAGGACTTCCTGCCGTGGGAGACGGAGTCTTCCGGCCACGTAGGATGTGTGTAGGAGGCATTCAGCCAAATGATGTGAAAATGTCCCCATCAGGACTTATATTTTGGGAAGCAAAATTCTAGCTGAATGGGGAGAAGGTGGTCAGGGTCTCTGTACCCAGAGCTCTCTGGCTGCTGTGGAGTTCAGGCTGGGACCCAGTCCCCATGGTGCATGGGGCAGCCACACCTGCTTGGTTGGCTATTCAGATGCTTCCTTGCCTGCAACTACTCCAAGATGGAAAAGGAAAGTGAGCTTGTTACTCTACTTATCACTAACTACTTCCTGTTTGCGATTTAGACATGTAATAGACTTCTGTTCCTTCAATCAGTTTTTTTATTCCCAGTCAGTATTCTGGGAGAAAGTCCCAGAGGGGGACATCCAGAGCAGTGAATGTAGGGCTTGAGGTACAAAAGTACATTTGGCACATAGTGGCTGGGTGACCCTGGACATGTTATTACTTCATCCCTGAACCTCAGTTTCCTCATCTATAAGATGGGGATAAAAACAGCACCTATTGCATAATTAAAATTAAATACCTGAATGCAAGTAAAACATATGAGTATGTGTCTGGCATATACCAAGTCTTCAACAAACAGCTGATATTTATACATGGTGATGTCTTCAATCAGGGATGGAGGGCCAGCACAGAACATAGTGGATTTTGGCCACTCGCATGTTCTCTCAGCTCCTGAACCATGTGCTGCCCCCTCGCAGGTGTCCAGCACATCGAGTCTTCCTTAACCTTTGCAGGAGCTCAAGTGGAACACTGGTCAGAGGCTCTCATCTGCATAACTGAATACCAAAAGCAGTTTTGACTCGCGAGACAAGACAGTAGAGTTTAGTCTTCAAACTTGATGGACTTGGAAGCGTTCCTATCGATATAGAAGACTTTGTCTGAGGCGGCGAAGCCGAGGCCAGCGCGCCCGCCGTGCTTCCGGGTCATGGCCCTCGCGTAGTCCCGCTGCAGGCTCTGCTGCAGGCTGCAGGCCGCCAGCCTGTCCAGCGCCATGTTGGGCCTCCTGGTCGTGTCAGGGGTGCGGCCGAATGAAGGGGACAGATTTTTAAAGCCGCCCATAAGTTTGAGAAATTTCAGCTTCTGGTCCTCATTTTCAAAACCAGCAGTATCCCACTGGCCAAACTGAGTTCCCTGTGTTAGGAGAAAAGCGGTGTTATTTTCCTCATTCCCAAAGCGCTTTCCCTTCCCTGAACCATTTCCCCGGGAGGACCCGGCGATTAAGTGTTTGTTCCGGAACAGACACTTGCTCCATCTGCATCAGGAATGCTGCTCCTCCCACTTTACTGATACACTAGCAGCTTAACTAGGACACAAGCCTAATCAGTGACCCCACTAGAATCCCATCTCACATCTGACCAGCACCAGAGAGCACCTTTCACCTGCTAAGCTGCCTGCCCGCTTTACTCCTCCCCTAACTCATGGCTTATAGCCTGGCACACCTCACCACCTGGCCACCCATCCAGCCACCAGCCCGAGGTTATTGTCAAGTTAGAGGAAGAAGAGGAGGAGGAATAGGGCAAGTGGCAATGTGAAATGCATTTCTATTCACAGAGGTTTGTAGCAAGAAGGGAGTGGGGGCTCAGAAGTACAGGGTCCACACAGCCAAGTCAGAGGCTAAAGCCAGACCCTGAACTTAGGGCTCATGATTCCTGTCCAGAGCATCCCACCACCTATGCAGAAATCACTCACTCTCACGAAAATGCAGGTGAGCTCCTCAGAGCAGTGACCTAAGAAAAGAAGCCCTTCCTTTCTGAGTCTGTGGACAGACAAGAACTCGGCTCAGCTCCTCAAGAAAACGAGAACTCTGAAGTCATGTATCCCAGGGTCAGGAAGGAAATGAACTCGGGACAGTTCTGAGCAGGGTGTGGGGGATCTCTGTCACTCAGTGCCTCACCGTGCCAGGAAGGGAGGGCTCAGGACACTGACAGACTGCCTCAAAAAGCGCTGGCATTGCACTTACTGTCCATGTCTGAGTTCCAGATGCTTCCGTTTTGCCTGACTCACGATCAATTTCTTCCTGCAAGGCCTTTCGCCTCACCTGAGCAAGGGGGAGGAAAGACAAAAAAGAAATGAGATACATAAGTTATCCTCTGAGCTGAAAACAGGGACGGGGTAGAGGGACTGGAGGGGGACAGGAGAGCACAGCTGCAACTTGAGGGAGGCATTTGTCCGAAGGAGCTCTGAGCATCTTAAGGATTGTGATCCCTGAGCCTAAAAGCAGGCAGGCCTCACTTCTTGCCGAGCCTTTCCTTCAAAATGAATTTTCTAGAGGCAGATCCAAGGTGGTGGCAGCCTAGGAGGGCACTGAGCTGCCATCCCAAGGTCACATGGGATGTGCAGTACACTAGAGCAAGTCCTGAGAAACAACTGAGGGCCAAAGGCGCAGCTTCTGCACCGCAACCAAGAGACCTCAGAGTGCTGGGCCTCGAGCACGCTCGAGGGAGCTGGGAGCTCTCCGGGCCAGAGGGACAGTGAGTGCCAGCTTCCATTTCCCTTCACTTATAGCGGGTGGAGCTCTACCCAGGGTCTCAGGCTCACCTGCAGGGCAACAGTAGTGTAAACCCAACCACCCCACCTGGACTAGCGCCAGCAAGACGCGGATGCCACACTGAGCATAGAAGGGGCCCAGCACCTGGACACTAATCCAGCAAGTATATCAGGATTCTGCATGCTCCCGTGGGTGTGTGCCAATCTCGCCGCCTGGAGTGAGTGCAGAGCTACCGTGTTTCCCCGAAAATAAAACCTACTTGCAGGTTTCCTTCTGAGCGAAATATAAGGCATCCTCCCAAAAATAAGCCCCCCTCCCCCAGGCTCTGTCTCAGAATGAAAATTAATTTATCATAAACTGGTGGGTAGGGCCGCCCCGACTTGCATCTAGCAACAAGTGACGTTATGTGGAGTCCTGACATCACTGCTGTGTGGAGGCGGAGCGGAGGCTGGAGTGAGCGGTGAGCGCGGGGTAGGAGAGAGGAGACTTTCACAAATGCATGTAGAAGAACAGGATTAGTGCAGATGGTACACGGCAAAGGTGGTGAGTGCTGGTTTATCTCTGGTAACACTACCTGATGCTTGCGGCCGCCCTCATGATGACTGAAGGTTCTCAGTCAATGGCAGACCCTGCTCCAGCCCAGATCCAGGCCCCAGCAAGCCCAGTGAAGGTCCCCAGGCAGGCCCCAGGGGGTAAATGTCTGATAAAGGGGTAGGGGGGATGTCTAGTGAAGGTGTTCAGTGGCACAGGAGTGGGGGGAGGGGGATCACTTAAAATGACACAGGAGGATCAAAGGGGGCAATCAAAATGGCACAGGAGGATCAAGGGGGGTTACTAAAATGGTAATTCCCCCTCTGATTCACCTGTGCCATTTTGATTACCCCCCTCTGATCCCCCCTGTGTCATTTTAAGTGAACCCCCTCCCCCCATCTTGATACCCCAATTCCTTTTTTTTTTTACCCCTAAAAATGAGCGCAAAAAGAAAAAGCTACTCCGTGGAGTACAAGAAAGGAATCGTGGAGGACTCTTGGGGCCAAAATCTTACTGCTTTCTGCTAAGAGAAGATGTTGAGTATCCGATTGGTCCGAAAATGGCGAGCAGAGTATGGTAACCTCATTGAACAAGTGGACAAGGGAAATGCTAAAAAGCACAAGTGTGGATCAGGTCGGCAACCATTATTTTCCGAGCTGGAAGACCTGATCTGTGAATGGGTTGTTGACAGGAGAGCAGAGGCTTTGGTTGTGAATAGGGCTCAGATTCAAGAATTTGCCCTTGCAATGGCACCACAGTTTGACATAGCCCCAAAGACTTCAAAGCATCACAACACTGGCTGAATAATATCCTTCAGCGAAGTGAACTGCCTTTAAGAAGATCTACAACATTGTTTAGTTGGAAGATACTCAAATTATTAAGCGAGCACTTGCATTCAAGTCCTTTATTGATGATGCTGACTTCTCTAAATACAATCTTTCCAACATGATTGGTATGGATGAAACTGCAGTGTTTATGGGCCAATCATCTCAAACAACAATTGAGCAGCGGGATGCCTCCTTAGTGTACATTCCCTCCACTGCTTACAAAATTGCACGTGTTTCCTGTATTTTGGCAATTCGTCTGGATGGCACTAAAATCCCACCTTTAATCATTTCTAAGGGCAAGAAGGAAAAGATTGAACGTGTTTTGGGCGTTTTTATTCTTGAAACTGATAAAGCCTGAGCCACACAAGCAGTTATAAGGAAGTGGGTTGATTTAATGCTGCCACTTGTTATGCGAGGGAGCCAGAGGCCTGCTAGTCTGGGATGCAGCCAGCACTCACCGCGCTAAAGACATGAAGACATTTCTTCATGAAAGAAAAATAGATCAGATAATGATTCCTGCAGGAATTACGGCCTATCTCCACTCTTGATATTGTAATAAACAAGCCATTCAAAGACAATTTGCGCACGGAAATTAATGACTACATTGAAAATAGAATGGAGAGAAGTCAGCATGGAAACTGTGAAACCTAAACTGCAAGAAGTTGTGACTTGTGTGAAGAATTCATGGGAGAAAATCACTGACAGTAGCACTGCAAATGCACTGCGAGCAGGCTACCTTGACAAGAAGTACTCTATTTAAAGATAGTAATATTGCTAAACATGAGAGATTTGGTCCACTGATTCTGAAAAAACTGGAGTCACAAGAAATTCACCAGGAAATTCAGGAATTGGATTGTTATGATGATGTTCCAGAAGATGATGACATGATTGTCATTGAATAAATGAGTAAATTCTTGATACTGTAGGATTCACAGTTTGTCTGGTTTGTGTACTGTACCGTATACAGGTAATAAATTTCCTTTATTTTCATTTAACAATAAATGTGTACCGTACTCTTCTTCATGGAAAAATAAGACATCCCCAGAAAATAAGACCTAGCGCATCTTTGGGAGCAAAAATTAATATAAGACACTGTCTTACTTTTGGGGAAACAGGGTAGAAGGTGCTGCCACGTGTATACCCAAGCAGCCCTGCTCAGACCCAACTTGTGCAACAGACAACAGAAGCAACAGGGAGCACCTTAGGGACACCTGGATCCTGAGCAGGCCCACCCAGGTGACCAGGGCAAAGAGGCAGGCAAACACCAGGATGCCTCCCTCACCAGAAACCCACATCATCTGGCCAGGCAGCAAACCAGGCCCTGAGCACATTGAACCAGGTGACCAGCCGCCTGCCAAATAGCCCAGCACAGCCTACACAGAGGCCACTTTAAAAATATATATATATGGTTTTACTGATTTTTAGAGAGAGAGAGAGAGAAAGATGAAGAGAGCCGTCTGGGAAGGCACATGTGCTAGGAATGAGGAACAAATAGGACCTTGACTCACCCAGATCTTGATATGCTAAATCTTGTACCAAAAAATGAGGAACTTACCCAGATCTTGATGAATAGGATCTGGGCACACCAGAAACTCATTTTGACCTTAAACTCCCTTTTCGGAACCAATAAATGCGCTGTGTTGTCTACACGGGTGTGACTGTCTCTCCATCAGAGAGATGGCACCCACCTAGCTCCCAGCTTTATGAACTTATTTCTGCCTCTTGTCTCTTTCTCTAATTTCTTAATCCCCAGCTCCTCCACTCAGGAACCTGTCGTTTTCCGTGCGGGATGCGGAAAACAGAGAAAATGCCCACCACAGAGAGAAACATCAATGTGAGAAACATCTATCAGCTGCCTCCTGCATGGCCCCTCCTGGGGATCAAGCCAGCAACCTGGGCACATAGCACTGGTGACACTTTGGTTCATGGGATCATGCCCAATCAACCGAAGCACTGGCCAGGGCCAGACGCTACTTTTTCAAGATTAGGAGAGAGAGCTATTTCATCTAATGCATAGGAATAAACACAGAAAGTTGGGTAAAACTGGGAGATACAGTAGGTCCCCGGGTTACGTAGGAGATCCATTCCTATGAAGTGACATAACACGATCTTTGCCGTCAGTCGGAACCCACCTGCATAAGCATCGTCATCACTCATGTGGAGCACACACACAGCAGTAATGAAGTGAAACAATAAAAAAAAAAATTAAAGGTCACAATTCCTGACCTTTACTTGTGGTAAACAAATAATAAAACACAAAGCACATATGTACATACATCAAAATGATGGAACTTTTTTTTATAAATAAATGGGAGATGGCCACGTAATCACGTAACAACGTACAAATCCAAGGTAACCCAAGGTCTGCCTGTATATGCCCCAAATGAAAGAATGAGAAGAATGCTAATAAAATGGAGAAGTAATTTGCCTGATAAAGAATTAAAAAAAAACCTTGGTGGGTGTGGCTCAGTAGTTAGTGTGTTGACGCATGCACTGAAGGGCCAGGGGTTCGATTCCCAGTCAAGGGCATGTACGTGGTTTGGACATTTATACCTAGCCCCAATCGGGGTACATTCAGGAAGCAACTGACTGATGTATCTCTTACATTTATATTTGTATTTTACATAAATAAATAAATAAATAAATAAATAAAAATATATATATTCATTCATTCATTCCTTGTGGTAACCAAACACCTAAAAAAAAACCACTGGGGGGGGGGGGGGGAGAAGATAAAGGAACCCAAATAAAACATTGAAATATACCAGCAAATCTAAGACAGAAACTAGAGAACAAAACAACCAAAAAAACAACTAATAAAATGGAAATGGTAAACACACACCTATCAATACTTATATTAAGCCAAAACCGGTTTGGCTCAGTGGATAGACCACTGGCCTGCAGACTGAAAGGTCCCAGGTTCGATTCTGGTCAAGGGTGTGTACCTTGGTTGTGGGCACCTCCTCAGTAGGGGGTGTGCAAGAGGCAGCTGATCAATGTTTCTCTCTCATCAATGTTTCTGACTATCCCTCTCCCTCTCTGTAAAAAATCAATATATGTTTTTTAAAAAAATACTTATGTTAAGTGCAACTGAACTAGAGGCTCAAACAAAAAGGAGACAACAGAAGGGATAAGAAAACAAGATACATCTACCCGCGGCTCGCAAGCCACATGCGGCTTTTTGGCCCCTTG